CAGCAGAGCTGGTTTCTTTGGCATCCTTTCTTGTCTATAACCACTTCTGCTCTGTGTCCCTACAAGGCCTTTTCCCGTAGACAGAGACAGGTCCCTTCCTTTTCTCCTGAGGATCCCAGTCTTCCACATTAAGGCCACGCCTCTATATCCACATTAACCTAATTACCCCCTTGAAGACCTTCCCTCTAAATCCAGCAGTCACGTTAGTGGTTGGGGCTTCAACCTATGAATGTGGGGCAGGGGCCACAGTTCAGGTCCTAAGGAGTTGTAATCGGAAGGAAGAGTAACGGGTGAAGAAAATTCCTTATTTACCAGCTTGCCATCGCTGGGAGCCGAAACCATGCTGAGGGGCAGCTCTGCCTCTATCCAAGGTGAACCTGCAGTGCTGTCACTAGTGGTTTCCTGTGGGCGCCGGAGATTGGCCTCAAGGCCAGAGATGGAGCTGGGAATGGGGGCTGTGGAAACTCTTGGTTTATAAAACAAACACACACGTTGGGAGAAATGGAACGCAGAAACCCAGCTCGACCAGAGGCCTGGCACTCCTGGAAGCGTGGAAGGAAGACAGAGGCGGGTCTTTCACAGCGCAGCCGCACCATCCTGGGCAGCCTACAGAAGTCAGTCCACCCGCCTAGACTCTGCTCTCAGGAAGTGCAGGCCCGGGGAGAGGAGGCAGCCGGGCTGAGCACTGTGGCCCAGGCTGGCCCCTTCAGCCAACAGTGGGTTATTAATATGGTGGACGGCAACAGTAGAAAGCAAGACAGAGATTATGTTTTGGTTCACGCATTTCCTTTCATTAAAGTCTCACCCAGAAGCCCCACAGATAGGTATTCTCTCCCCGCCAGAGCAAGTGCAATGAGGGCACAGAGAAGCTAGGACCTCTCTGGGGGAGGACAGACCAGGAGCGGCGGAGGCAGGGCTCCTGCTGGCGCACACCTCGCCTCTGATCCACGTCTTCCCTCCTGGGAGCTCTCTCGGGACACTCTGCAGGGTTTGGCCGCAGCCCAGTTCAAGGCAGGAGCAAGGAACCGCGGGAGGGATCATTTCCCAGCTCTGCGGGTCTCTTTCTTTTCTGTGAGTTTGCAAACACTTGAACCTCTGTCCTTGGAAGCTTTCCGGAAGCAAGACTCAGCTCGATTTAATTAGGGGGGAAGTAGGTTTTGCACCAAGGAGGATTTGCATTAGTTTTGAGGAAGCTCCGAAAGGGCATACAGGTGTTTGCCGTTCCTCTGCTTGGAGAGATCACCAAGAATTGGCCGCTCCCTGACAATTCTATAGAATGTCTCTCTTTTTCTGGAATGTTCTTCCCAGATCCCCCAGGCTGCAGAAGAAGACACCCGGAAGTCGCTGTGGTGAGGTTCTCGTGGCAGAGACAGAGGTGCACTGTTGTGTTTAATGCTCCTTCAGAGCGCTGCGGCCCTGTGAGCAGCACAGTGGCATCCATTGTTCCTACTGATGAAACTGACTTCTGCCTCCAGCGTCTTCATTTCCTGCTACATCTTGGTCTCCTTCGGGAAACCAAAAAAAAAAAAAAAAAAACCACCCAACTGGAGAGATGAGGCAGTTGGCTCCCACTCAGTCGGCCCTGAAAGTGCCTCCTGCCCTCCCCCAGCCGTACCACGTTAACTTGGCGCTCTCGGGCAGGCTGAGACACCATGGCATGGCGGAGCCGCAGGAGCCAGCAGCCCTCACTGCCTCAGACCCACCCTAGGGACCCCACAGGTCCCCACGCTCTGGATCACCTCCTCCTAGGGCGTTAGACTGAAACCTCCCTGGGAAGAAAGTTGACAGCTGTGTTCTCTTCGTATCTTTAAAATAAGACACTAGAAAGTTTCCCAGCGGCTCTCAATCTTCACTTCAAGGGTGAAGGAGGAAAAAGGCATTAACCTAATTTCACTTATTTTAGAAATCAAATGCTGGGCATCTCAAAGGTCAGGTTATAGCCTCACTGTAGGTTTTCTGGAGGAAAAACAAGACAGAGTTCGGCAGGGGGTACGGGCCTGAGGTGGGCAGGGGTTGGTCCTTACGGGCCCTGCTGTCCTGGACCCTCCGATGAGTGGGGCTTCAGAAAAGGCCCGTGTGACCATAGTCTGCAGGGTGGATGCATCCGTAGGAAGCTTTTTGCTCAGGCGGTTTTCGAGGCGCTTCCTGTCTGGGAGGTATTTGTCTGGTCAACGGGGGGCTGAATAGGGTAGGAAGGACACACCGAGTGCAGCCTCCAGGGGGCCATCACATGGGAACACCAACTGGGAAGCCGGAGTCGTGGGAAGTCACTGCACTTCCTTTCGGTTCCAGAATAGCCACCAATGAGGAACTCCATTCTAAAGACTGCTGAGGCTTATACATTATGCATTTTATTTGGTTAACATTTGCACTAGCCACATGCTCACAACTTCTATAAAGGGAGCTGGTATATTTTAGCAGCCCACCAACTGCAGTGCTCTCCCTCAGGCCGAGAAAGATGACATAGTCCTGTGCCAGTCAGGGGCTGTCCCCAGGCCCAGGGCAGTGTCTTCCTGCTTGCTGGTTTTGCCCCTTTTAGTGTGGCATGACAGGGCCTTACTGGCTGGCTAGGGTGAAAGCAAGGATTTGCCTTCTTTTTTTTTTTTTCCCTAGAAAAAATTTAAAAGGAAAAAACACTGTGTTTTTCTCGCTTGCTATATTATCAGTTATGCTTAAACTTAGCAGCTTAAGAGAACAAACATGGACTATCTCACAGTGTGGACTCGAGATCTGGGAGTGGCTTAGCTGGTGGCTCTGACTCATGGTCTTGCATAAGGTTGCAGTTACAAAGTGTGATAAAAAGCTGAGGCAAATGTTTAAATTTTTAAAAAAGTATTATGAGAAAAAATTATTACAGTAAAAGACACATTGCCACGAATACCCCTCAGAATATGCCCCTTTGCTTTGAACACACTTATCCCACTGTTCTTGCCCCTTTCTGAAGCAGTTCTGCAAGTCCTTTCTTTTTTTTTTTTTTTTTGGTACCAGGAATTAAACCCAGGACCTTGCACTTGCCAGGCAGGCATTTGTGCCACTGAGCTATGTCCCCAGCAGCAAGTCCCCCTTCATGACTTTATGTTTTAGATAGATAAGGTCTTGCTATATTGTCCAGACTGGCCTTGAATTCACTATGTAGCCCAGGCTGTCTTCAAACTAACAGTGATCCTCCTGCTTCAGCCTCCCTGGTGCTAGAGTGATAGGCGTGTGCCACCCTGCCCAGTTCCTGAGTGTCTTTAGTTGTGCTCTTATGGTTGCCTTGATGTCCTGAATTGGTTCAAAACATTTTCCTGGGGCTGGGGATTTAGCTCAGCGGCACAGCGCCTGCCTGGCAAGCACAAGGTCGTGAGTTCGATTCCTGGTACTGGAAAAAAAAACAAGAAAACATTTTCCTTTCATAGTCATTCTGACTTTGGGGATGAGAGTCAGATCCAGTCAAGACAGTGGATGAGAACACACTGTCCTGTATTTATGAGGCTGCCTTTCTGTGGGATGGCACTCGCCAGCAGCATTCACTGTATTTTTGTTTCGTTTTGGTACCCGGAATCGAACTCTCGGCCTCGTGCTTGCCAGGCAGGTGCTGTGCCACTGAGTTACATCCCTGCCTCGCTGTACTTTTGATCACACCTCATAAAAGAGGACTTCCAGAGCTGCTTCGGAGGGTGGCAAGACTAATGCAATGAGTGTGTTCAAAGTGGAGGGGGAATATTTTGAGGGGGATTCGTGGCAATGTGTCTTTTATTGTAATATTTAAATGTAGGGCCTGCGATATAGCTCAGTGGCACAGCACCTGCCTGGCAAGTGCAAGGTCCTGAGTTCGATTCCCAGTACCACCCCTGCCAAATTAAATGTAAACATTCCCCATGTATTTTGCTCACATCGCCTGCATTGGCTGGGAATGCAGCTCTCTGAAGGCTCAGCGGGGGAAGGATCTGCTTGGTCCTGTGGTGGCTTCAGGGCCTTAGGTCCTTGCCGGGTGTTGTCCTCACACCCTTAGCCTCTGCTACCCTGCCTGAGGGTCCTCAGGACATCGCATCTGGGTCTCCCAGAGTGAGCGGTCTGAGAAGAGAGAAAGACAGAGACCCATGACAGAAGTCAGACATGGCCTTTACACCCACCCTAACCTCAAGAGTTTTATCCCGTCACTTCCGGGATATACTTCCGGTCACACAGACCAAAAAGGGGACAGGCAGGAAGCTTAGAGGCATCCTGGAGGCTGAGTACTTTTCAGGAAGGCGAGAAAGGGACAGAAGTCAATACATCGTGAAGTTAATGGTATGAATGGATAGTGAACAGCTCCCTCATTAACTCCGCGACTGCCCTAAAGTTGGCATCCCTGGGCCTCAGGTCTGCTCAGCCTGTAAAGTAAGGCGTTCAGACTACGTACATGGCCTGTGAGGTCCCTAAGGTGTGCGATGTGGATAATTAGAGGTCGGCGAGAAGAAAGAGAGGAGCAGGGAGGGAAGGCGGCTCGGGCCTCATGAAGCAGCCCAGGGCCTGAGCCCCCACCCCGGAGCCTACTCCAAGCCCCACGCTCAGGGTCTCACAGCCCGCCATTTGATGAACAAGGAAATGGGAATGGGGGGCTTGTTCCATTTCCCCAAATTTTCAGGCCTACTTCCACATGAGAGCAAAGAGGGGATGACTGAGGCAGCTTTGAGCGTAGGGTCAGTCAGGGCTCCCTGGCTTACAGAGCTGGTGCCACTGTGTGTGTGAATCTACAAGGTGCCAAGCTGCCCAAGTGTTTCCCGAAAGCAGCCCCGTACCCTCATGCCTGCCTTTGGGGTCAGTTCTTAGTCTGTCACTGCTTCATTTTTTTGGGGGGGGTCTTTTTGAGACAGGGTCTCGATATGCAGTTTGGGCTGGCCTTGAGCTCACTTTGTAGCCTAGGCTGGTCTCGAACTCATAACGATCCTCCTGCCTCAGCCTCCCGAGTGCTGGGATTACAGGCGTGCGTCACCACTCCCGGCTTGTCACTGCTTCTTATTTCATGTCTTTTCCAGGCCTTCCAGAACCTTCTACCCATGAGTGACCAGGACCTGCTGGACTTCCTGGATCATATAATTCTGTGGGGTCAAGGGAACCCTCCCCCATCAAAGAGTCCTCGGAAAATCTTTAATGGGATTGTGTTTTTGTCTGCCTTTCTTTGGGTTCAGCGCAGAGAAATACCAGCTCCTTGGCACCAGAGATGTGTGGACTTCTGCAAGTTTTGAGGTGAATAACTTTATTCAAGGATAACCGTTGCGCATTCCCTGGAAGCTGCAAGGTCTTATGATTACCCATGTAATTTCCTGGCACAGTTGGTGATGCCTGAGTCATCCCAGGAAGCATCCCGGGTGTCTATTCCCAAATGCTTACATTTGTGTCTCGAGTTCTGAGCTGCTCCTTCAGCTGTGATTCTCATTATAAAACAATAACCCTCAACTGTTTCTGGAGGCCCCCAGGCCTGAGGGGACAGTGTCCAAGATCGGTCTCAGGCAGATCACAGAAGTGGAGAGGGAGGAGCAGGTGGGTTCCAGTGGGGCCAAGAGTCTAAATGCCAAACCCTCCACCAGATTTGCTTCTGGGAAAAATTAAAGAAGCCCACTTGGAGAGAAAGGGGATTCTCTAAAAACCAGCTAAATTCACTGGCCCGATTCTACTACACTGAGAACATCCTAGCAATTCAAGCATAGGTCTGGGGCTGTCTGCAGCCATTTGAACTGATGTAGTGGAAAATAAAAGTCGTGTTTTCATGTTATGAGTCTCCTGGCTGTGTCACCTGGGCTGAGCTGCAGTAGTGACCCCAATGCAGACGCATTTTTCCAACCCTGAATTATTCAGGGTGCCAAGCTCCCCAGGACAAGACTTCTCATCTGTCCAAACTCCGCCCAGGTTGTAACACTCCCCTCCCCTCTGTCTTCCTTTCTCATTTCTCCCTTGCCTGCTTTGGTCTCAAAGGGCATTATGTAATTCCAGATTTGGGAGTTCAGGACATTCTTACAACAGGAATCCAAGAGATGAATTGGACCTTAGAGGAGATCTAGTTCAACCTCCCGCCTAATTCAGAAATCTTCAAAGGCTCACGCTCTGTGCTCCAATTTAATTTTAGGATGGGGAGAATACTATGGCACAAAGCAATTCATTCTATGTGGATGACTATTTTTGTAGACCCTATTTTCATATGGACTTTCTTGTATTGAAATCTGCCTCTCTGAAACTTACAGTGACTCTTATTTTGCCTTCTGGGCCAACCTAGAATACAGCTAGCTATTCCTTCTGTAAAGCAGTCTTGGGAGAAAATCGCGATGAGGCAGGTTGATGCTGGAGCCAAAGCATGCGAATTACATCTTGGCAGAGTCCCAGATCCACTATGATTGGTCCTGTGTGATTTAGAGAAAGACCCATGATCTCATCTGCAAGGAGAGATAATACCCACTGCACACAGCGCTGAGCCGAGTTACACTGGACACACAGTGTCTCTGCCCACCTCAGCACTCAGTGATCTCACTTCCTTCACTTGCAGTTGGCATTGTAGGAGTATTTACACCAGGGAAATTGGCAAATGCTACAAATTAGGAGTTTTTTTTTTTGTGCAACATATCATTAACCATATCCCAATTTGGTGATAAGGATCAAATAAGTCAATGCAAGTAGATTTTTTTTTTTTGGTCTTTTTGAGACAGGGTCTTGCTATGCAGTTTAGGCTGGCCTTGAGCTCACTTTGTAGCCCAGTCTGGTCTTGAACTCGCAACGATCCTCCTGCCTCAGCCTCCTGAGTGCTGGGATTACAGGCACCACCACGCCCGGCTAAGGAAATGTTCTTTGTAAAATGTCAAACTATAGAAATAATCAATAGTAGTTCTTTTGATGAATTGCCACCAATTAGTTTCTAAGCAGTCCCACTCTGAATTCACGCTTGTGTGTGGTCATTTTCCTCGCTGTGCTTGGGCTGGTGGTAGGACTTGCTTGGTGCATGGTAAGTGACTGAGATGCTGGGCCCAGGCGGTAAGAGTCCCGTAGCAGCCACACGCACTGTCCTGTTTCCCTGAGAAGCCAGAGGTCTGGGCCGCCCTCCCTGCGGGTGGGAGGCCATGTGTAGGAGGGGCGGAGGGAGCATGAGGACAGGGGTACAGTCAGTCCCCAGAGGTTGCCACCATCCCAGCTGTGGCAGTGGACATGAGCAGGACACCATCATGGGCCCTCCAGCCACAGTGGCCCTGCCAGCTGGCTCCAAGTGCTCGTGTGACCCTAGCTCACACCTACACCCCAGCGGGCAGAGAGAAGCTCCGCAGCCCAGACTGCAGAATTGTGGGCAAGTGAATGGTTATTGTTGATTTAAGACCGTAAGTTTTAGGTGTGGTTTTCACACGATGACAGATGACTATTATAGTTATTATCAGGCCTCTCCAAGTCTCCTCTTGTCCAAGTTAAACTTTCCCAGACCCTGTCTTTCCCTGGATGGGCTCCATTTGCTAGTTCTGGGCTGGACAGGGTGCAGGACCAGTGCTCGGACTGCGGAGAGGTGGAAGGACGCCTGTCCAGGTTCTGGACCCTCGCCCATCCCTGCCATCAAGGGTGAGCTGGAGACTTCGGTACTCAGAGCTCTGCCTGTGAGCTCATCCCAAGCCTTTGCAGTCAACGCCAGCCCCCAGGCTGTGAAACTAAGTGTTCCTCCCAGCAGAACATCTTTTTTAAAATCTAACTGCAAGGTTTACAGTCATCGTCATTATCTTTTCACTTTCACTTATTCTAGTCTTTCCAAATCTGGGTTCCAATTTATGTGAATTATCTTGCAACTATTATAACATTTCTGCTCTGGTTTGAAAGTGTGTCTCAGAGTCTGTGTTAGAAACTTAATCCCCACTGCAACAGGATGAGAAGTGGGGTCCTCAAGAGGTGGTTGGGTCAGGAGAGCTCTGTCCCCATGAACGGATTAATGCCACTGTGACAGGAGTGAGCTCCTGTCCGTTATAACCAGAGTGAGTAACGGCACCGAACTCAGGTTTTTTTAGAAAAATAGATATTAAATATGTTAGTATTTGTAACCTGCTTAAATGGGGACCAGCTGCTCTTTATATGATATCTGATATTTGATAAATACTTGATTTTAAAAAGAAGGCAGGGGGCTGGGGATTTAGCTCAGCGGCAAAGCGCCTGCCTGGCAAGCGCAAGGATGTGAGTTCGGTTCCCGGTACCGGAGAAAAACCAAAACCAAAAAAAAAAAAAAAAAAGAAGGCAGTCTGCAGCGGTCCTTTATGACCCAAGGGAGGCCAGCATCCATCCCTGGGACTGACTTTTGGAAGTGAAGAAAGTGCTTTTTCCAAGGCATCTCTGGACAGGAGAATGGGGCCAATGTAGAAAGTCAGGCAGAGACAGCAGAAGAGTTGTCATTCTCCCGGGTTCCTGCTGCCCTTCCTCCTGTCCTGGCACCACCTGGGCATCCTCCCAGCTCCATCAGCCACTCAGCTCCTCTTGCTCTGTGGTTTGAATTAAGGAGCTTTTTAAAATGTTTCTGTCCTGTTCTTCAGAAACCATCCTGGCTCAACCTGGTGCCTTGAGCAGGGTTGTAAATTCCAGCACTCATAGGAGTCAGGGAGGTCAAGCACGGAAAATCATTTTGATGGCGCCAGGTATATGGAGGAGTCCTCGTACTGTAGGAAAACGGACCACACTCATGGCCCATAGCACCCAGCCTCCATGTAACAGAACTGTGACGCGCACACTCAGCTCCGTGACACAGTCCATTTGGCCACGACAGCCCAGTTTAACGACATCTTCTGCTTTTATTTTCATAAAAGAAGCCATCACTCTGTGACTCTCCCAAGTGATAAACTTTGGGTCTGAATTTTCTGCCACATCGTGTGACACATCTTCGGGCCACGTGTGTCAGTTATCCCGCTCAGCCCAGTTCCAGGGTCTCCCCTTTGGGGATGGGGGGACTAAGCTAAGAGTCTGGGGAAGTTGGCTTTCTGTTGCTGTAAGGATTTATTAAGGCTCACGGTTTCAAAGGTTGCAGTCTGTGGTCACCGGGCCCTGTGGTTTTGGGCCTGTGACAGCACTGCACACCATGGCGGGAACCCACGGCAAAGAAAAGCTGCTCACCTCAAAGCAAAAGGGGGAAAGGAAGGGGCCATGGTCCTAGCATCCTTTCAAGGACACAGCCCCAGCAACCAGGCTTCCTTCCACGCAGCGGCACATCCTAAAGTTCCCCCCACCCAGGAGCTCCAGAGGCTGGCAGCCATGCCTTTGACCCGGGTCCTTTGCAGGACACCCACATCCAAACTATAGCAGAGTTTCACACAAACCAGAGTCTTGGACTTCCGGTTTTAGATTCAGCCTCAGACAGAGGACTTCTGGGTCTCCCTGCTGCAGGTCCCCTGGGATGGCCCGCTGCCCAGTGGACAGGGCCCCTCCTCTCTGTACCAACAGCTCCTCCCCTTGGCTTCTTTTGCACAGGCTGTATCTGTACTCCTCTCCTCCCCTCCACTCAGAGTGCACCCCATGTGTGCAGATGCAATTCTGACAGGTAACACCTACAACCAAAAGTGACCCCATGGTGATTTGATGTCCCATTCTGTTTGGGTTTCTCAGCTCCTGTGACTGCAGCCTGCTCAGTCAGGTGAGGCACAGACCGGGAGGCTCTCAGGGAGTCTCTGGGGGCAGATCCAGCGGCAGGCAGACAGCCCCGGCCCTCTGTCACGCCGGCTCTTCGGCCCTGCTCCACTGGAGCTGCACTGCTGAAACAGGACAGGGTGAGGAGAACCGGCGGCTCACCTAGGACTGGGGACTCTCTGCCTGGGCTCTTTCCCTGCCTCTCCTTTGGGAAATTGGAGTCTCTTGTGCTCCTCAGGCTTCTGCTGACCCGTGAAGGAAAGAGTCAAGATGTGATTCTGCAGGAAACACTCCCCAGGGCTTTGAGGCAGGAGTGGTTTCTAGGGGCAAATGAAAAAAGAGACCCTCAGATTCTGTCCAGAATGCAGCGAGATGGGTGAAGAAGGGGAAGAAGGGAAGGGATACAGCAAATGCGCTCCTGGCAGCCGGCACAGGTGGCACGAGTTTAAGCCCAGCCCAGCAGCTCTGCCAAGGCACACGATGCTACCGCAGGTGGGGTGCCCGAGAGCGGCCGAAAGATGATCACCTTCTCATTTATCGAGGCAAAGGGTCCCAGCATTTCAAAGATTTGCAAATGCTGAACGCAGAAGGGAGAGCTTACGGCTGCATCTGGAACCCTCTAAAAGGTTTTGCCCTAGCTCAAAATCAGCAGAGACATTGGTACCTGGGCAGCAGGAACCAATCATTTCTGTCATTCCCACAAAATTCACCTGCCCGGTACCATGTCGCCCTCCCCAGGACCGCAGGCTGAGTTCTCCCTGGGCATCACCATCTCGCCCCCTGAACACAGCCTTGTGCCCCAGTAGCTTCCTCTGCTTGTTGAGACGACCCCAGTTCCTGTCCCTGGTCCCTTTGTTTCTGTCCGTTAGGCTTCCTTACCCTCTGCAGCTGTGCCAGGTATGGGTGTGAGGACAGCTGGGTTGTTAGCATCTTGTCCTGGTCTTAGTCCACCTGCGCTGGGTAGCTTTTTTGTG